AAACTTTTTCATGTCTGAACTGATTTTTTTTTTTGATTTGTCACAAAACTAAACCAGTGAAGCTCAAAATCATCTCAGAACCCAATGAAGCTCCATTTGTGATTCAATTTTGTCTAATCAGCAACTAATCACTTGGATTAATCGACAATTCCACATGAAAAGGGCTTATAGCATTAGAAAATAATATAATTGATTATATTGTCTGCTACTGAGGCAAAATCCGATACACCTATAGTAACTTAGAATTCTTAGCTCAAATTATCCATAAAGAATTAGGTATGAATAAAATTTAAATTGAGATCTTCTTTCGAATCAACAACAACGTATCGCATCATAATTCTATATGCCCTTCTGTTATTTATACCTAAACCATTAACATTATATACCTACCACTTCATTCTCCCTACGAGCACTATAAAACTAAGGTTGATTTCATACAAGCAGCAGTCAATCTGATAACGCAAGTTGTGAAGTAAAATTATTATCATGGACCAAAGTAGTAAATTAAGGCTCAAAGGATTGAAATGTTGTGCAAATATAAATAATCCGAGATGCAACCGAAAAAAGTTACGGGCCATATCGTCAACGATGGTAGAAAAAATACATTCTATGGGATATAACCACGAAATTGATGAAACGATGAGCATTTGTGAGTCATGCCGTAGCGTGATATCTCATAATAGAAGTCCAGTTATGAAAAAAACGCCGATCGGTTGGAAATGAAGTAAATATCCAACCGTCAACTAGTGGGCAGCAGCATAGTGATGATCCAGGTCCATCAATGAGTGGCCATCAATCCGTAGATGAGCTAGGTAAGAACAGTCATCCTGATGATTCTATCAACTTTTAACTGCAACCTCCTAATTGTACTTATTAATTATTTTTTCTTCTTCTTTCCTTCAGATACGGTACCATCGGTTCCATCATTGGAGTCAGTTCCATCAGCAGATGATCTGCAACGCCCATACAATGTTGAGAAGTTTAATGGCTTTGTGGAAACGTTGAATTTATCTCCAATTTCATCGAGGAACATGAGGAGCATGGATTACCGTTCAATAAAATCTCTAGAAATTACACAAGCAGTGCGAAAAAATATATTTGGCCTAGATACAGCAGACATTAGCATAGTAGAGGCATACGAAGAAATGATTCTGCAGCTAAAGGAGAAGTTCAATTCCCCTACAGCTGACAGAAAAGATCAGATAACAGTATTATCAGTATTGCCAAAGTCTTGGTCCGTGAATAAAGTTGTAGCAGAAGAAGAGCCTTGTTAATGAGCAGGGTATTCTAAGCACACCCAACAAAAGAAGTGGGCATGGGATCAACGATGATACAAAAAAAACTAGTTAGGGAATTTTTTGATGACAATGATATTAGTAGACCTATGCCCGGAACAAATGATTTTGTTTCCGATTTTGTGGACGAAAAGAACACGTTCAAAAACGCATGTTAATGATGACCCTCAAAAAATCGTACATGATTTTTGTTGATAAATATAAAGATATTAATATTGGTTTCACTGTATTTACACAATTGCGACCAAAACATTGCATTTTGCTTGATTCTACTGGTATACATAATGTATGTATTTGTACAATTCATGAAAATGTAAAATTTATGATCAACAGTTTAAGAATTATGTCACAAGATGTAATAATAGAAAAAAAAATGCTTTGTAATATTTCTATTAGATTAGAACAACTGATTGCTTCTTCCGTGATTGCGAAAAGTGTGCTTCCAATGAACATATTGAAGAGGAACTTACTTTGCTATTAGAATCAAATGACAAACAAGATGTTGTGTTTTAACAGTGGCTGAATACTGATCGTTGTAATTTGGAAACGATTATCAAGCCTGTTGATGAATTTGTTCCATATCTCATTGATAAAATTAACAAACTTATAACTCATGACTTGTAAATAACAACAGTCATCTTTTCTAAGAAATAAAAAATAATTAAAAGAAGGCGAAATTCTAGCAATTTGTGATTTTTCTGAAAATTATTCATTCATTATCCAAAACGCTGCTCAAGGATATCACTGGAATAATTCTCAAGCAACAATACATCCATTTGAAGTTTATTATAAGAAAGACAATAAACTTGAAAATGTTAGCTTTATTATCATATCAGAAGTAATGACTCACGATACAGTTGCAGTTCAGCTGTTCATCTCAAAAATGATAGATTTTATTAAACAATCGATAGATTTTTCTAAAATTACTTTTATGTCAGATGGGGCAGCATCACAATACAAAAATAAAAAATACTTTGCAAGTCTGTGTAGATTTTAGTCAAAGCATGGATTAGAAGCAGAATGGCATTTTTTTGCAACGTCTCATGGAAAAGGTCCCTGTGATGCCATTGGTGGCACTCTCAAGCGAATGGCATAGAGAGCTAGTCTTGCTCGAGATTATGGAAACACCATAACAACTCCACGAGAATTATATAACTGGGCAGTTGACCAAACAGATAAAAATATCACAAAACTACGTTTCGAGTACATCGTACATCGGTACATCGAAATGTCAGAAGAACTCGAAGAACTATATAACAGCACAAAGACAATATCTGGTACACTGAAATTCCACAGTTTTTTGCCTATAACTGGTGACAAAGTAGCGACAAAAAGGTATTCTAATTCAGAAGATGAACCAAAAATATTTAACTTGATTGGAAAAAGGAAAAAATAGCATCTATGAAAATAGGTTTAAAACATTGAAAATATATAAATAAATGGTATATGAAAAATCTTGTCTTTTTTTTCTAACATATTATGAAATTTTGCATCAGTAGTAGACAATAAAATAAGGGAATGATATTTTTTTTGACAAGGTCTACATGTCCAAATAGTTTTATTGAACTCTGAGAGGGTGCTGCCAATTCCAAATACGATTTGGCGAGAAATGCATCATGAGCCCTTTTCATATGAAATTCTCGATTAATCAAAGTGAACTTAAGTGCTGATTAGACAAAATTTAATCGCAAATTGAGCTTCATTGGATTCTGAGATGATTTAGAGATTCACTGGTTTAGTTTTGTGTGAAAATGGCAAATCAAAAAAAAAATCAGTTCAGACATGAAAAAGTTTTTGTAAGAAAAACTTTTTTTCCTTAAAAGTGCCCATCTCGCGATGTATGGACGGTTGGTAGTAAACATAATAACCTATCTTGAGGCAAAGTTTCATCCAAATCAAACACGGCCATTTTTTAAATCGACTTTAAATTTTAAAAATCGTTTTTTTTTCAGTGTAGGTTTCAAATGAAATTTTTTCCAGTATTTTTTTTCGATAACTTGGACAATTTCCTAAAAGTCATCCATACAACACATTTTTGTAGAAGTTGTCATTTTTCCATAATATTTTTTTTGAAAAAAATCGGCAGAAAAAGTTTGGCCCTTCTCGAATGTTAGTCTAGATAAATTTTGGAAAAACTAAGTATGCAAAGTGGCATATTTAGTCAAGGTCCACACATCCAGAAAGTTTCATTGAAATCTGAGAGGGTGCTGCCAGCTCCGAATACAATTTGGCGCGAAATGCGTCTTTTGCTGAGATCTCAGTGAAACTTTTTTTGCCGAGATTTGCACAGCCGAGCTCGGTAGAAAAAACTAAGTGTGTATGAAATCCACGACTAAAGTACATAAAGCTCACTATACCCCACCTGTTCACTATACCCCTACTTCCCCTATACATCGAAAGCGAATTATTCCCACTTCTCTCAATTACTATATGCAGATTTTTATTACTTCCTGCCATTGGAACAGCGCCATCTCTGAGGAAAATGGCCTGACGATATGATTAATCATTTCTACTTTTCATCCTATATCAATGCATAATATCGCTCAAAACAATAGTAGACAATTTTGGCCAGTTTTTTTACCTAGTTACTACTCTGTGAATCGGTGAGAAAGAGATATTCGTCGTAAGTAATCTATGGTATTGATGAAACGCTCACATTTTTAAGGGAAATTTCGGCACAACCAACCCCTCGCAACGCGACCCATTCTTTGTTTTCAATCAATTTCATTTTGTCACATTTTTTTATTTCAATGTACTTGATTTTTAGATCACCTTAATCGTTAAAAACTTATTCCCATCATTTTCACCCTTCTTCTTCTTCGTCTTCTTTTCGTCCTCCGATTCACTTCAATCCACTTACCGACCTAGCATATCCTGCTGCATCGAATTTCCACTCTTCCCCGATTCTATAGTTCACACATTTTGTCGTTCCTATCTCTTTCTTCTAATTATCTCTCTCGCTCTCTTTATTTATTTTTTTCCGTCTCGTGTGCATCCGTCCGTCTGTCTGTACCTATGCGTCCTAAAGGTCAATTCAGACATGAGCGTGGGCACGCGTGGAGCGTAGCGGGACTAGCTCTAGTTGTCTCTTGCATGCTGCTGCTGCAATTCCCGCTCCACTCCACGCGTGCACACTCATGTCTAAATACAGCTTAAATTGTAGGTTGTCCTTCTGATGAAAAAAAAAATCCTTCCTTTTTGCATGTATATGTATCTGTTTGTGTGTACGTGTATGAGTGTGTGTGTGTTTGTATGTAGCCAGCAGTCACAACGACAATCACAGATCCTGGTCGATGCCAACAACCAGTGTTGCTAAATTAGGATGTTTCTCCTTTCCTTGATGTCTTCTGCCCATGAAAATGTTTACAAACCGTTGCTTGCCGGTTGCTGCAACACTTGATCAACTTGTTCGTTCCTTTTTTTTTATTTTTCTTTATTCACTTTGCTCTTGCTATGAATTACCTTAGTTCGAAATTATCACTAATCAATTATACACAAAAATATATTTTTATACAGTTAATTGTTGCGGATTTTTGCATTGAGTTGTAATTAATCCTCTTGTTTGTTGTTGTTTGTTGTCTAATATTATTGTTTGCTTTGATTTCATTGTGTAAGTAGTAGTTTTAGTAGTAGGTTTCTGTTTTGCTCACGTTTTTTGTTTGTTTGTTTTGTTTTGCTGAATGATAACACACTAATTAGCACAAACCGAAGTGACGTGAAGAAAATGCAACGGCTACACGCGTCATGGCCAATTCTTTGTTTGTTTGTTTTTTTTTTTATCAACGCTCGCTTTATTTTATATCCACTAATTTGTTAAGAGATCAAAACCACATTTAATAATCATGTTGTTTGCTTTCTTCATCATCTTCTTCTTCTGTTTCCGCGACATTTTTGTTCACAAAGCTGAATTTCTAATTTGTGACTTGTTCAACGGGTTCGGCGGCGGAGGTTTTGAGGAGGAGTTGTAGGGGAGGGGGAGAGGGCGGTGTTAGAAATCAAAGCGAAAATACCAAATGCATAAATCCGGTCAAGACGGCGGCGGTGACGGCGGAAAACCGAAAATTAGGTTTCTCGTTGCTACTATGTTTACTTAGATTGGTGGGATCGTATCGTGTAACGAACGACGATGATTTGAGGTTATGTTGTCCATCCTGCTGGTGCTTGGGCCTTTCAGAATGATACTGTTGCCGTTTTTTTTTCTCTGGAGGGTTTCCGCTCCTAATGCTTACTTTTTGGTATAAATTAGTTTGTGTGTGTTGGGGCGTGGATGTGTGTAACGTACATAGTTACAACAAGTGTGTAATAGGAAGTAACGCGAACGCTCTAACACAAGGTAGTGAATTTACGACGACCTTCGATGACGGAGTGTGGACCCCGAAAAAAATACCCGGCAACAGTATAGCCCAATCCGAGCCGGCAAAATGAACAGGAAATCAATGAAAGGGCGCAAAAATGAACAGAAAAAAAAATCGCGTTAGATTTTCAACTTTGTTTTTATTGTTACGGTATTTTTGAAATAGTTATTCATAGAGTTATAATCACATATGAAGCTACTAAATTTATTTGTTTATCAGTTTTAGCCTTTATATCAATTCTTACTTTTTGTTTGTCTCAATGTAATTTTTGTTTTGTTTTATTTCGCGCTTTTTAATTTTCCGTTGCTTGCTTAAATAAATTCAGTAATTCATTTGTTTGCTCCGCTCTATTTCCATTATCTCTCTATCTCTTTCTTTTCTTCTTTTGTAGTTTTGTTTACCTATCAAGTTGTTGTTGTTGTTTTTTTTTTTGTTTGTTAAAAGTAGCGACTAAAACAAATGTTTATAACTAACGATAGCTTATTTTTTGTATTTTGTTTTTCTTTTATTTTTTTAAGCTGAATTATTAGAAAATTTGAACACCTAATTGGGGGGAAACGAAAATATAAAGTAAACGAGTGCAAATTGCATAAAAATACGAAATTTGCAGCAAAATAAACGAAAGATTTTTTTTAAACTATTCTTTTTACACAAGTAAGGTAGGAATAAGTGAGGGGGAAAAACAAGGAAAAGGATAAAAAAGTAAAAAAAAAATCACCTCATAGGAAAAAAGATTACGAACAATTTTTAACGCAATTGTTTGATTCAGTGTACGCTAAAAAACAATTTATTTTTCACTTAAATTTTCGAACTTTGTTTTCTTCAGATAAAGTGTTGCTTTGCCAAGTAGGGCGATTTCCGATTGTTGTAATTTGGTGATTCAAACAAGAAAAGATTGAATCCCCTTAGTTTTCAGAGCATTTAACTGTTTTTTCAATGTTTTCTTCGGCATTCTCTCCTGTGTCTCGTGTTGGTTTCTTCTCTTAGCTTTTTTCCATTAATTAATTACATTATATTAGCTAACATATATAGACAAAAATATCACATTGTATAAATTAATTTAATTTATTTGAATTAAAATGATTTCACTTCTCTCTTTGGGCGTGCCAGCGCCAGCTGCCGGCGGATGTGGCCACTATCAAGGCCGTCTGCAACTCAGCCCACACAGGGGCTCTTTTTTTTTACTGAAACGGAACACCACAAAGCCAGAGCCGACGCCGCACGGTTCTGCCGAGAAAAGCGTTATTTGACATTTGAGAAGAAAACTCGTGGCGCGGGGAGAAAACCTGGCCTACACTTTGCTCTCTGTTCAATTTTTGCCGAAACGCTCGCGAATATTTACTCAGAGATTGATCGCCATCTTCTTTCTTCTACAGCGGGAGGACAGGAGATGGCACTGAATCAATGGGTAAAATTTCCCGACCGCCAAGGGGACATTTTGCTTGCTTTTGTTCAACGGAAACATAATTATTTATCAAGAAACGAATTCAAATCAGTGTCCCTTCGTCTAATCCTTCAAGGTTGATTCATTCTGTTTTGACCGTACATCTCTCGCTGCTATTTCTCTGCTACAACTCCTCTTGCGCTGATTCCAGTTTACTGATTTCTGATTTTTATGATTATTTATCGATTTACAATTCGCTTCACTACTACTAAGAGAATCCTACTAACGAGAGACTATCAAGAAACTAGATTTTCTATAGAATTAAAGCAAACAACTGCTCTTTTTCTTATTATTTGCGTTCCATCCAAAAGCTGCCTTATTGCAAACAGATGTCGCCACTTTGTAGACAATTTCTAGCGCTGCTGGAACTGATGCCATCAATCACAGCGGCTGCAGCAGCGGAACTGGCACCCCGGCGATGATACTGTTGCTGCTGGTGTTGATGATTGTTACTGACGATGCTGGATTGGTTGTTGAGAAACTGCTTCAACGCATGACTGCCGCCAGATGTCTCTGAGGAAGAGGAACCGGTGGTCGTCGGCGGTGATGTCGTGGTAGTGCCGTTGCCGGTGTTCTGCATTTCCAGCTGCTGGCGCAACTGCGAATAGTTGTTCAGATTGAGATTAAGATTCCGTCCGATGGTGGCAACGGTGACGGCATCGGCCACGGCTGCAGCGACGGCATTGGCCAACCCAGCGGCTATGTCGTTCACGTTTACCGATGACTTTTTACCGCCTGTCTTGATCAGACTGGTTGCAATTTTGTGGCTGTGATCGGTGGCGGCCGCCAGCTGTTGCTTCAGCAAACCTCCGGCAGAGGTCGTCCGAGAGCTAGGACTGCTCGGGTTGGTCAAGTGGTTGATCAGCAGCGATGACGACGACGACGACGAGATGGGGCTCGCGTGACCAAGCAGCTTCCGTGATGGCTGTTGTAGCAGTTGGGTGGTTATTGGCGCAGCGGAAGGTGATCCCGCCGGCGACGGAACAACCGATGATGGGTTAGAAGTGGATCCCGACGTCGTCAGTTGGTACAGGGTGGCAGCAGCAATGGATGGGTTGTTGTTGTTGTTGGTGGTGGTGGTGGTGGTGGTTGATAGTGATGATAACAAACACGATGATGATGCGGATGCGGATGCGGATGATGATGATGATTGAGTGATACTAGCTGATGGTGTTGGTAGTGACGGCGACGTTGACATCACGGACTGTACGGATGTCAACATTTTATTTCAGCTCATCTTGACCCGCTTGCGGGGAGGACCGATCGGTGGTATCTGCTGGGTGGCTAGGGCGCGAAATGCTTCGTTTATCAGGTGCGGATGCGTCGTCACCATGTTCTTCCAGCCGACGGTTTCCATCACATCTGTCGCATGACTGCTGGGAGGGAGAGAAGTCAGGGTTTAGTATGATTAGTGGACCGTTGCAAGCGCGCCCACGTGCGTCCGGGCGGGATTGCATTCATTAGGGTCAGCAAGTGCTCCAAACATTAATTGATCAGGGTCTCAAGATCTGACCTGCGAATTTTGTTTAAGGAAGTCCCCTGAAGGATCTTCACCCATATCGAGATCGGGATCCTCAAAAATGCCTTGATAGTTACCCAAAGTTTTGCTGAATGTTTTCAGAATACGTTCAGGAATTTCCCAGAATTGTATAGGTACTTTCTGGAATTATTCTTGGAAGATGCTCGAGTATGCCCAGGTAGTCGAAGTAAATATCCTGGACATCATCCATTGGTTTCCAAAATTTGAGTTCTTCGAACAAGCCTTGATGGAATCTCAAACTTGACCTGGATGTCTTCAAACATTTCCAGGAAGCTCCTCAGATATGTAATGTAAGTTCTTAGTACTTAGTACTTGCGCTGGTAGTAGAATTTGATTTAAAAAGTCTCCAAACGTATCGATGTAGTTTCTCAGGCATGTATCACAAGTTCCCATAATTGCCCTAAAAAGTCTCCAAACACATCCAGAATGTGGAAGTTCATTGGATTTACCCATATAGTTTCCTTATCATCCAAACACGATTCGCTAGATCCTCGAATTTGATCCAAGCAGCTCCAATCATATCAAGGAAGTTTTTCAGACATGCGCATTGGAAGTTCTATGATTTTCGCTAAAAAGTCTCCAAATACATTCAGAAAATACCTTGGCCTTGGTGCCTAATTCCCTAAACACGATATGCGACGTCCTCAAATATGATCTATATAGACTCCAAATACATCGAGAAAGTTTTTCAGAAATGCATTGGAAGTTCTCTGATTTTTCCTAGATAATATCCAATGCAGATCTAGAAAGTTGTTTCGCAATGTAGTGGAAGTTCCTTGAGTTTGCCCTGGTAGTAGAATGTGATCTAAAGAGTCTCCGAACAAATCTATAAAGTTTCCAAGACATGCATTGGAAGTTCCTTTATTAGTCCTAAAAAGTCTCCAAACATATCCAGAAAGCGAAACTTCCTTTAATACACCCTGGAAGTTTCCTGAAGTTGTTCTGATAGTCCTCCAAACCTTGTTAGATCCCCAAATATGATTTTAAAATTCTTCTAGTTTATGCATTACAAATTCCGGAAATTGTTTTTCTATTCCTCCAAATACGATTTTCTAGATCCCCAAATTGGATCGTACAAGTATCCAAATACATTCAGAAAATACCTAGAAAACATCTAGAAAATCTGTTTCGCAATGTAATGGAAGTTCCTTGAGTTTGCCCTGGCAGTAGAATGTGATCTAAAGAGTCTCCAAACAAATCGATAAAGTTTCCAAGACATGCATTGGAAGTTCCTTTACTTGTCCTAAAAAGTCTCCAAACATATCCAGAAAGCGAAACTTCCTTTAATACACCCTGGAAGTTTCCCGAATTTGTTCTGATAGTCCTCCAAACCTTGTTAGATCCCCAAACATGATTTTAAAATTCTTCTAATCTATGAATTAGAAATTCACTTATTTTTCCTAAAAAGTCTCCAAACGCATGCATTTCCCCGGTAGTTTCCGGAAATTGTTTTTATATTCCTCCAAATACGATTTTCTAGATCCCCTAATTTGATCGTAAAAGTCTCCAATTGAAAGTTCCGTGATTTTCTAAAAAAAAAGTCTCCAAATACATTCAGAAAATGCCAATGTAATGGAAGTTCCTTGAGTTTGCCCTAGCAGTAGAATGTTATCTAAAGAGTCTCCAAAAAAAAAGTCTCCAAATAAATTCAGAAAATACCAATGTAATGGAAGTTCCTTGAGTTTGCCCTGGCAGTAGAATGTGATCTAAAGAGTCTCTAAACAAATCGATAAAGTTTCCAAGACATGCATTGGAAGTTCCTTTATGTGTCCTAAAAAGTCTCCAAACATATCTAGCAAGCAAAACATCCTTTAATACACCCTGGAAGTTTCCCGAAGTTGTTCTGATAGTCCTCCAAACAAGATTTGTTAGATCCTAAAATATGATTTTAAAATGCATAAGAAGTTCCCTGATTTTTCCTAAAGTATCCAAACATATACAGAAAGTGGAAGTTTCTGGAATTTGCCTTGGTAGTTTTACGGAATTGTTCTGATAGTCCTCCATACCCGATTTGTTATGTATCGACAATGAAATAGTTTTTAGGCACGCTTTGGGGTTTCCCTGATTTGCAGAAAATGCCTACAAACATATCCCAGAAAATGGAAGTTCATTGAATTAGCTCTAGTTGCTTTTCGAAATTGTACTGATTTGATAGTCCTCAAAACGCAGTTTGATTGTTCCCCGAATGTGCCGTAAATTGTCTTCAAACATATCCCTAAAAACGCATTGGATGTTCCCTGAATTATAATCTGAGTTCTGTTTACTCAACTTCGCAAAAAAACACCGGAGAAGCTATCCAAACACGAAAGGTCCCCGAACTTATATTGGAAGCTCTCCAACAAATTTGAGTAGTCTCTCGACATTACATGTCAAGGACGTTTAATGCCTTGGTAGTCTCTCGAAATGAGCCTGGAGATTTTACTAATTTCCCCTGAATTTGCTTTGTATGTTCCCTGAAAAAGTCCTAGAAGACTTTCAACACACTCTCTAGAGGGCCCAGGGAGCGCGCCACTGCAGATCCCCAAAGTTAGTTTGACCCTCAAAGTCTCCCGAATTGTTTCTTAACACATTCAGTAAGTTCATCAAAAATGCCTAGAAATATTCAAAACTCATTTTTAGGAAGTTTTTCCAAAATTTCTAGAATTTTTTGCCGATCATATATAGTAGATCCAAATATTTATCGGAGAATTTTCGAATTTGACCTGGAAGCTGTAACATATCTTGATATTATAATATCTTGATAGTTTCCAGAATTTGATCTGCCATTTTTGCTTATTCAGGAAAATACTTAAACATGTCTTCATAGATACCAGAATCTGAAGTTTTACCAGAATTTTCTTCCCAGTGTTCCCAGTCCAGACATACATTGAAAGTTGCCTCAACATGCCTTGGATATTCTTCGTACAATCCATGAGGCCATCTAAACAAATCTAGGAATTTCGATTTTTTTAGGAAGTGCTCTTAGAAGTTCCCCGAACACGTCTTGTAATATACCCGAATCTGACCTGGAAGTTCTCCAAATATGTATTAGTATATATTTTGAATTTGTCCAGATATGTCCAAGATATTCCAAGTAACAAATAAGCCCACTACTTCGCCTTTTTGCAATATATGGCAGACAAATGGCTAATACAAAGCTTCGAAGTCTCATATCCGCCGTATATCAGCCTTATATTCGAAAAAAGGCGAATTAGCGAGCGTTTTGCTTACTTTGGTAAGCAGATCCCAGAATCTGCACTGACCATTCTTCGAGCATTCCTTAGAGTTTCTTCAAATTAGCTCTGAACACATTCTGGATGTTTTCCAAAATGCCTTAAATGGTTCTGGAACCCGTTCTAGGAAGTTTGGTTCCTTGAACTTATTTTGAATATTTTGCGAACATATCAAGGTAGTGTCTCGTACCGTGGGGTTTTTCTATTCGAACCTGGAAGTTTACAAAACTTGTTCCAGAAGTTCACCGAACATACCTGGGTAGTTTTTCGAATTTTACATCCAAGTCAAACATAACTTGATTGTTCTGAGTTTACCAGAATTCTGCCAAACATATCCAGAAAGTTTCTCGGACAATGAACTTCCACGAATTTCCCTGGAAGTGATCCAGAAAAGTGCTGGAAGCCTCCGAAATATCTAGGTAAATATTCAATTTATTATCCAGGAAGTTCTCCTAGAAGATCCCCATATAAGGACTAGTAATAGCTCCTCGACATTGATCTGTAATTTCACCAAACTAAAAAACTAGGTAAAGAGTTCTGAATTTACCATAATTCCTCCAAACATATCCAGAAAGTTCCTCAGACATGAGTTGGAACTTCCTTGAATTTTCGCTGGAAGTGATCCAGAAAAGTGCTGGAAGCCTCCTAAATATGTTGGTAAATTTTCAATTTTTCTCCTAGAAGATCCCCAAATGAGGACTAGTAATTGTCCCGAAAATGTCCAAGAAATTCCTCGAGCTTGTAACAGCAACACAAGTCACAGTTTGTTTGTTGGGATTCTCCAAACATGCATTATTATATTCCAGATGTTTACCTAAAAGCTCCCCCAAAACACGTTTTGAAAATTTCCTCAATCTGCCCTGGGAGTTCGAATGAGTCTTAGTCATTCCCCTTGAATAAACCCTGAAGTACTAAAAAATAACCTTGTGGAACATACCTCGGCAGGTCTTCGAAAGTTCTCCTAGAATACTCCTGGAAGCTCCCCAAATAGGCCTGGGAAGTTTCCAGAGTTTCCCAAACGGGCCCAAACGGACAGAGCAAATGCGCGGAAAATGTCCGAAGAAGATGAAGATTTCCGAAAAAAAGCCTTTCTCGAGTTAACCCTAGAAGTTCCGCGATATTGGCCTAGAAGTTCTCTGAGCATGCCTCAGGAGATCTCAAAATTTCCCCTTATTATTTTCCTACCATACAGTAGAAGTTCCAAAACATGTGCAATGTGCCCCGCCCCAGATTAGCCTTGGAAGATCTCATAAATTATCCAGGATGTTCTCCAAAACAACCCTTTTGTAGTTCAATAAAAATTTCCCTGAAAGCTCCCCGTACTTATCCAGTTAGCTCTGTGAACAAGCCTTAGTAGATTCTAGAATTTGGCGATGGGAGTTCTTTCAATTTATGCAGAAAATTCCCCAAACAAGCCATACCCTGGCAGTTTCCGAACGTGCCTTGACAGTTCCGTGAACTTGCCCTGGAAATGTTTCGAGTAGTGTCCAAGAAGTTCCCCAAATATACCTTGAGTTATTTACCTAGCACACCCAGAATGTACACAGATTCTTCAAATTGCCGGATATGTGCCCTGGAAATTGCCCAAATTTGCCAAAGGGGTGCCTTGGTTGATCCCTGTTTTAGAATGGAAGTTCCTCGAACTCATTGCCGAAGTTTCCCACAGTTTCCATGAAAGTTCCTGGTACGTGATGTAAAGGTTCTTCCAATAAGTTTTCGTATTCCACCGCCTCTGGAAGATCTCGAAATATGCTCTACAAAGTTCTCGAACTTGTCCTGCAGCTTTCCTAAATATACCCTGAAAATACCCCCCCCCCCCCTTATGGCCGATTTTTCCCTAAAATGTCTACCAAAATGCCCCAATGTAGCCCAAGGAAATTGCCCGAACTTGTCATGAGGTTCCTCTTAACCTCCTGCTGTCAGAGTTCTCCAAAATTGACGTGAAACCCAGGATGTTGCTCACATAAGCATCGAAAGTTCCTTTGATTTAACTCGGAAGTTTCCCGAACAATACTCTGGAAGTACCTCAAACAAGTTTTGGTAATAGCAGTGGCGTTGCGTAACCTCACTTTTCACCTGATTGGACTTTGAACTTGGATCGAATATATCTAGCCGGCGACCGTATATTCAGGTCCCAAAAATGCATTGTATCTTCTAGTTTCACACATTTGTATCAATTTTAAACAATATCTTTCTATTTGATTACGTTTTCAGATTTGTTGAACTAGTAGATTGAGGCTAGGGCGAAGCAACTGTTTGGTAGATTCTCAATTTTTTTAGATATCTCAGAAAAATCCATAGCAGGTGTCTTGAATTTACTCTGGAGCTCACCGAAATTCACCAGGACGTTTTGGGAACATGCCTTGAAAGATCTCCCAACATACACTAGCCCACTAGAAGTTCCCCAAACATGTCTTGGCAGTTCCATCCGTTCCCCCTGGAAGATTGATAAATTTGTCCAGAATGGTCCAATGTCTAAGTAGTTTGATATTTTTTTCCTGGAAGTTATCTCAACTTATGCTCTACTTAGAAACCTACATTGTTCAAAATACCTGGGTAGTGTGATGAGTTGACTCAGAAAATATTCCAAATTCGCCTGAATTTCTTGTAGGTTTTTATTTTAACATACCTCGGTTATCCGCCGCAATTTCCTAGGTAGGAAGGTCCTCGAACTTATCCAGCAAGATCTCCGAGAAAGGCTTAGTAGTTCTTCGAAATTGCCCCCTAAGTTCCCGGAACGAATCCAGTGATTTTGTCTAACGTAGGACGTTTGTCGAATTTGTCCAGAAAGATCCTCAAACTTGCTTTGGTAGATTCCCGATATGGTAGTTGGACGAACTCTTCCTGTAAGTTTCCCGAGCTTATGAAGTGTGTTCAATTAAGAAACCTTTGTAGCTCCACGAATTTGCGCTGAATGTTATCCGAACATATCCTGAAAAATTATACTAACATACCCTAGTGGTTTGCCTGAGTTGACTGAGGAAGTTATACAAATTTTAAATTTGCCCTGGAAGGTCCTCGAACTTTTCCACAACATTCTTCTAACAAATACAGTACACTAAACTATTAAGTTTGCCTAATTGGTCCTGTAAGCTCCCCAGCAATTTACCCTAACGTATTCAGGAAGATCATTTTACATCCTCGAAAATTAACCCTGAAAGTTCTTCGAACCAGTCCTGGAAGTCTTCTAGCCAAATTGGGAGTACTTTAATTTGGTTTGAAAACGATATCCAAATAAGTCTCTAGAAAGGGTCACAACAGCTTGTCTATAGGGACTAACTTAGAAGGACTCAATCTCAAGCCAATCCTAACACTAATTCCTTAGAATGGAAACTGGTTCGGAACTTCTATGACATCTTGCGATCCCAATGGGCATAAATTCAACCGAAAACTCCATAAAGCAACTTACGTGTTGATGAAGTCTATCGTTTGCGCCTTCAGCTGGTCGGCGCTGTGCAGATCGGCTAGGATCAGCGTTTCGGCGGCCGTTTCCACCGACAGGTTAACACAGAGCGCTTCTTCACACATCACTTTTAGCTTCTCGAGGGCGTACTTGTCCGCCGCGGCCAGCAGATCGTCCGCCATCTTGTCCAGGTTGGGAGCCTTACCGGTGTAGATAAACCGGAGCATCTCTTTTAATACTTCGTGGTCGACGTCGGTGATTGCCACGCGGTTCTGTTTGCGTTCCTCCATCTCGTGCTCGAACATTGCCGCAAACACGGGACTACGGGCTGTAAGAAAATAAACTCATAAGTTCGTCGATTCCGGAACGCCACAGGCACGTCAATAGCCCTTACCAGCTAGGATTGCTTTGTGTGCTTGAAATTCTCGTCCACCGACCGCTAGCGTGACGTCGCTGAACTTTTCATTGTCGAACAGGACGCCCAGGTCCTCTGATAGTTTACATTCTGGCACTTTGAATTGTATGATGTTACTCTGACCGGAAATGTTGACGCTGTCCGCGACCACACTGACCTGCAAAACAAAAGTCAAACGTTGAGAAAAAAGGAAACGAACACGTCACACATTCGAACACTCACCTCGCAGAATATCGTGAGCTTGTCTTCGGGCAGGAGACCGTTGGCTTCGTCCAGCAGAAAGTCCCGCCGGATGAATTTTTTGAAGCCCCAATCCTTGCCCTGCACGAACCGGTACGCCCGCTGGGATTCCATCGCTTTCGTTTCCTCCCGTTTAGCGTTCAGGATCGAGAATTTGAACTTTGCCCGGACCTCGGATTTGTTGCAGGACACCAGTAGCAGGTAGAGCGAGAGGTAGTCTTTACTTTCCTCGTCCAGGCCCTTTGGATTCACGCGCAAACACCTACGGAGTGAAGGGAAAATGGAAAACGGTGTTAGACTGAGGGAATGATCTTGAGTATGGGATGTAAGTCTGGGAGATTCCCAGTGTATCTTAAAATTGATCGTAGTGTGTACGAGAGGACAATTTTTTGAAACATGGTTGAACAGATGTGTATTGATTTATTGATATACTTTTGGTCTTTATTGGAAGAGCTTGTATGAAGTTGGATTTGTTTTAGTAAAACGCTCAATTTTTAATTTTTTACCTAGTGGACGAATTTTAGTTAAATTAGTGGCATATTAATGATCTTTATTATAACTAGAAATTAGTAAAATTTCAAGAAGTTACGATCATTTTATTTCAAGAAAATAAGGTTTTTCAAGAAAAAGGCTCTAACTTTTTGTAAACTCAACCAAATATGCCCAATACTGAGCCAATAATTGATAAATGTATGTTGAGACAGCTGCCAAAAATTCAGAGACATATATTTTTAACTTGTGCTTGTTGAGCCATTTTTTCTAAAATTTAAGTACTGCTGTACGATCAATTTTGAGATACACTGTATATGGTTTATAAGAAAATGAAATTTTGCATTTTTGTGAATACATTCTAATCTCCAAATTATGTCAGATAACACGCGAAGCGCTGCAGATTTGAAAATATAATTCGATGACGGTTTGAAGGCATTACCGTAGACCCCCAGTAATCTTATCGTTTTTAACTTGAACTCTTTTGACGTAGGACTACGTCTGTGATTTCTATGTGGTAGTACACTTTGTGAAAACCGAAAATGGAACATGTAACAAAATTATGAAAGATTTTGAACGTTAATAACTCAGCTTCCCCTGGACCAATTTCAATAATTTTATCACCAATGGATCGGAAATATTTCTACGCATCTGAAAATTGCACAAAAGTGCAATTGTTGCTATGATAATTAAAATTATTAGCTATTGCTTGCGAAAAGCGATTTCCCTAATACAGATTTCAAAGCTGGATTCCATTCGGTCTCACCAAACGGTTTTTATTCAATCACCGCGTAGTGAGTGGTGCTGTTCTCCAGTACACAACGAAAGGCTATCTGCAAGCAGCATGCTGCAGTCCACATGAGCATCCATAGAAGGAGGAAGAAGCCGCACCGCTATTGATCGGAATCAGTAGCTCTTCGTGAGTCGCTGTTGGCCATCTATGTCAAGCGCGTCATGCTAAAGAGTATCAACAGAGAGAACCCCGCTCAAATTCCTACTTCTACATAAAACACAAGCTCCTACTGCAGTTAACAAATAAGATTTATTATATAAGACCACTTAGTCCTACGTCACCATTGCGTACAACCCCATAGGGCTATCCTTTGTAGTTTTAAACTTGAACCCCGCTAATCTGCACGCCGGAACGGAACGGAGTAAAGCAAAATGGAACATTGTGTGAATTGTTCGAACACAGAATCAAAACAAAACAGCAAATATGCAGCAGATGCTTGCGTCACATGACGACTTGAGTGTGAAACAATCGATAGAACTGTTTCCACACATCGAAGGTACGTGAGCAAATCGGCGATCATCTGCAAATGCAAACTCTCCAAGGACCGTGGACGAAATGTCGGTCTACTGTACTCAAATTGGGCCTATAAGTGGATGCAACTTCGGCCTATCGAAGATGACCCTCGATCTACAAAGATCCACCATGTGAAATCACGCTTCTTTTTCACTTCAACTAATGAGGATGAAAGAGATAGTGTTTTCTTTTCGATTGATCCAGATAACATAAATCACAATGCTTTTAGAATAAAAAGGTAAGTCAAATAAATCATCTCACAACCACACATATAACGAACTGTCAATTCACGTCTAGAGCAACATGTGAAAAGGGCCTAAGTTTCAAATGTAAACAATGGCTTTAAACGTCGATTTCTCGCGGATTAAGACTCATTCAGGAAAACCAACAACAGCATCTGGTAGAGTAAATTTTCTCTATCAAATTTTGTAGTTAGTTTGCGTGGAAGCATGGTTCAAAGGGTTGAACTTCGGTCGAGATTTCATACGCGTGATGTCTCGTCTCATGTTCAATCACTATTGTCTAAACGCTCACTTGTTCCGTGTGGGGTGTGGGGTTCCACGATCTGGAGTTTATGAAACTCATATATGTTTACTTTAAGAATATTAATCTTAGATTGTAAGTTTGATTAACCTTGTGTTTAGTTTGTAATTTGTACGTGTGGTTTTTTTTTCAATGTTTGTTCTCAAGATGAATAGAAATAATTTCATGTTTTAGGATTAATTAAATATTTGTATCGTAAACCACATTTCAAACCTCCTTCTTCCCTTTTCCCATCCAAACAATTGTAAATCTCCATTAACTAGTTCCTTTAACTTTAAATATAAGGCAGTAATAATGTATAACGGAAAGGATAACTCGGCTCTGTAAAGTTTATTCAATTGAACCTGTACAAATAAAGTAATTATTAAAAAAAAGTTTGCGTGGACGTGTTGTTATTCATGAGCAATCGACGTTTAAAGCCATTGTTTACATTCGGCACATAGAACATTACCACATGTTGCTCTAGAAGTAATAGTCCAAAGCAGAGTGGCCATACCTACCGATTTTCGGGATGCCTATCGATTCACATACGAAAGGTTCAAAACTACCGATTTTACACTTTTCCTACCGAGAATCACAGATTCTGAGTTTTGTTAGCTTGATATTTCGAGCTGCGATATCACAGCTTGCAAAATCAACCGCAGTTGTTTGCTTGTTGATTTTTGTCTACGAAAATCAAACGTGATCTTGGGCGTTGGTGAGATTTGATTTTTTGATATTTTCCCAACACTGCTTCCTACCTACACTGCATTTTATCAATTCGTAGCTTGTAGCAAATATTTAAATTTCAGTCAATTCAAACATTCGTGTTAGCTATTAATGTTATGTACTCACTGGCTGTTTTGTATTTTTTTTTTATACGAGAGGCATTTCTAAAAACTAATATAAAATAACTCAACTGTTGGGTAGTTGTGTTTTTTCGTGTACTGGTATACACCCGTTAAGAAAACTAGATAGCTTATGGACATGGAATTTTAACGCAAAGATTGACAGTTGGCTACGCGGGATTGGTAGAGCGACCGAATAAGAAAAAAGTCGCCATGATTCACGCCTCCAGTGACGTTTGCTTATGGGATTTCCCCCCGGACTAAAGAGTTACAGAAGCTTTCGTAGACGCGAACTAACGTACCGTTTCGACGCGGACTTTCGGTGGAGTGAAACGGTTAAGAAACTTTCCGCTATGTTTTTCGAAACTGACGTATTGGTTTCACCAATATCAATATAAAGTCATAATATAAATTTCGTGGGCCATAATTAAAAGCACGTCTCTAAAGTTCGGCCCATAGTTGTAAAGCGCAAATAGCGTTCAATCTTCTAAATTAGCAATTGTAGTGAAAAGGTAAGTCCTTTCAATTCATGAAATTATTAGGTTTTTTGATGATCAGCGCTGTTTAGATTTTCGTTAGTGCAATAAAACGGCAAAATCATGGCGCATAGTAATCGAAAAATATGAATATTTCACTAATCTTTTTTTTTTTTTAAGTGCAATAAACGTACTAAATTTGTCCCAAAACTAGGCCATTCTTTTACGGATTACAATTTCACAGCAGATGTGGTATTACTTTTTCATTACTTTTGTGTATTATTGCTGAATAAATTAGTTATTTGTTTGATAGGCCGAAGTGAGGGGCTAGGGCCTAGTCTGAAGATCCCCAAAATAACCTTGTAAACGTCGGTTGAAATCTAATCAAGACAAAAAAAAAACTTGTTAACGGACAAATTACCTGTTGTGTTTATAATAATCTTTAAACCATTTAAAAGACTTTAAAAAATACGAACAAATGGCGTCTTATTTCCATTTAAAAAACAAAAACGCGGCTTCAAGCCTTAAAATAAACCTGAAATGAAACTAAATTTTAAGGTGGGGCAAAAGTTCAACCTTAGTTGGAAAAAATATAATTTTTCAAAACTCCAAGCATTTGGAATCAAACTAATTCCCTTACAAAACTTTGATAAGTGCTCAGTCTATTCGTAGCTAGAACGATTTTTCGGAAGAGTGTTCAGCGGAAGAGTGTTTTGCAAAAATTTCTTTCCAGCAATCGGGCAAAATTTTACAAACTTAATAGTGTTTGTCCATAATAAATGCTATATTGCAATTTCGACAAGGATTTGGTCATATTCTGCTGCTCCATTTATGATTTCTCAGAGTAAATAAATGCGTTTTAGACATTTAAGAACGATAGGACTCGGAAACTACTCGAACCCCGCTGACTCGAACTTTTGCCCTACTATAGGCAATGTAATGCTTCCTGATGACATATCAAAAGTATGATACTCCTAAAATCATCTTCAAGAAAAACGCCCTGACCATCACTATTTAATGTTGCTTGTTGTACGCCCTCAAAGTTCGAACAAATGTTATAATGTATCATCCTAAAACACACCCTGGCCTATATAGGGTGTCGACTTAACGAAGAAAACTAAATTCCCTGATATTCCATGATTTTCCAGTCGTTTTCCAGAAAAATTCCAGGTATAGAAAATCATACGCAATTTTCTAAATTTACAGGTTTAAGACATGTTATGAGCTAGGTAATTAGTTAAAGCAGTAACCAAGGTGTTAGTTGAGTGTGAATGAAAGAACAAGTTCATGATCCCCTTATTTACCCAATTCACTTCATTTCCTCTCCATGACATGTCAATTTCCTCACCCTTATTAGTTATTTTTCCGACTGTTTCTGGACTTTCCGTTAGGGATATTTCCGCATATGAAACACTTGTTTTTAATCCCCTGCTATAAAATTTGTTCCCCGTGCACACTTCAATGCCTATCCCATCTCCGTTGAACATTAGTGCAGTAGTTTAGTGCATGTCGTATTACTCCATCACTATTGAGAAATGATGAAGTATTCGATTTTTTTTACAGTTGCCACTCTTGCAGTTATCGCAAGGATCCGACTCTAATTAAAAGGTCCCGCTATTTA